TGGAATCCCTTCTGTTTATGCTCATACAAATTTACCCACACATCTCTATCAATCATGAACGCTAATCTTACCGCAAATCTCTCCCGAGTAATCACAGTAATTTACTATTGCACTCTCCCAAGATACACTAGCTTACTTTATTTAGCACGATTCACTTTAGATTACACCCAAGGCTTCGTTATCCCTAATCCCGCCTTTAAACCCGCAATTATAGATTCCTCTAATAATCTAGGAGTGGTGTTGTTCAACAATACCCTAAATATGCACTCTTTTCCAAGTTATGCACACTAAATAGGCACAGCTAATTGAGGATCCTGTCAATTAACTACAACGAACACGAAGTTGAACAAATAGAGATTAAACTAGCAATTTGTATTCACATAAACAAGAAGTTCATCACCCAATAGGTTCCATCAAAACCTTAGACAAGGAATTTAGCTACTCATGGCTATGGGAAAATAAACTAAGATTGAATTCATCATAAAAATCAAAAGAAAAGAAGAAAGATGTTTAGAGTATTCTCTCACAATGGTTTTTCTTGCTAAGAAACCTTAAAAATCAATACATGCCTCTCTTGGGCGAAGTCTAATGTTTTAAATAGGGTTTAGGTCTAAAAATCCCGTAATTGACACTTTGGTCCCTGAAGTTTCTGCGCCTGCCGCGGTTCTGCCGCGGTCGCGGTAGAACCGCTGCCAAACACCCTCGCGGAATCCTGAACGTTCTGCAGCTGCTTCCCACCGCGGTTCTGCCGCGGTCGCGGTGGAACCGCGGTGGACCCAGTGCTCTGAATCTTCGGCCTGTTTTGCGTGGTTCACTTGGGAAATCTCACAATTGGCCTCTTTTTCATCACTTTTAACTCCAAAACTGCTCCTTAGCCTTCCTTATACATATTTCACCTACAAATCATGAAAAGCACTAATAAGAGCATTTTGTTATCACTTTTAGCATTAAAACTACACAAGAAGGTGATTATTTAAGGTGTGATTATAGTCAAATTCACCTATTATCATACATCCTAACATATTTGAAAGATTTCAGCATTTATTTTATTAGTTTAAGTAATTATCTTATTTTTATCATTAGTTAAGATCGTATCAAACATTTACCATTATTTTTTGTTTGATTTGATTTCTTATCTTATTGTTTATTTTATCTGTTCTTACTTAGAGATCATGAAGTTATTTTGTTGTAGTTCCAATTTGAGCAATGTTCCCTTCTTAAGAATAGAACTTTTCCTCGGTTTTTGGCCAAAAATGTTTGACCATACTTTTAGAAGGAAAAAAGAAAAATATTTTTGAGTAGAGATGGAGCAGTTTTGAGAAGCAAAAAAAAAGAAATCTTTCCAAAAATATTTTATCTAATAGTACTTTTGAGAAAAATTGTGATGGCCCAAAAGGTCATCTTGTACTTTAGAATCCAATTCGGTGTTCCGAGGCCTTCAAAACCTCATTGTATTTCTCCTCGATTTGCATGCACAGTCCGGGCGCGTTTCCGGAAAGCCTTTATGTGGGAATTTGAGAAAAATAATAATTTTTGCCTTTAAAAGTTGATTTTAGTTGACTTCGGTCAACGTTTTGAGTAAACGGGCCCGAATCCGTATTTTGACGGTCGCGGTAGGTCCGTAGTAAAATATGCGACCTGGGCGTATACCCGAAATCGGATTCGGAGGTCCCTAGCCCGAGTAATAAATTTTTGTTAAAAATTATAAGTCTGAAAATCTAATGGTTTAAAGAATTTGATTAATGTTTGATCTCGTTGGTATCGGGCCCGTATTTTGGTTCCTGAGCCCGGTACAGGATTAATATAATAATTAAATTTGGTGAGAAACGGAGTTTATTTGATGTGATTCGGCATCCGGTTGAGAAAATAGGAATTTCAAAGTGTTCTAGAGAATTTCATGTGATTTGGTGCTAAATTCGTAGTCCTAGATGTTATCCTGGCGATTTAATCGCATGAGCAAGTTCGTATGATATTTTAAGACTTGTGTGCATGTTTGGTTTGGAGCCCCGAGGGCTCGGGTGAGTTTCGGATAGGCTACCCGGTGTTTTGGAACTTAGGAAATTTTGCTGGTATGACTGAACTTGTTGCAGGCCTCTGATCTCGCATTTGCGAGATCAGGCATCGCAATTGCGAACCCTGCAGGTTCCGCATTTGCGAGGCCCTCATCGCAATTACGATTAGAAGGCTGGGCCAGCAGTTCTCGCATTTGCGAGGTTACCTTCGCAATTGCGAAGGGAGTCTGGGAAGGGTCAGGATCGCAAATGCGAAAATTTACTCGCATTTGTGAGGTTCAATGATCGCAATTGCGACACTTTCCTCGTATTTGCAAAGGCAGCAGGACTGCGAAGGGCTTCACAATTGCGATAGCACCTTTGCATTTGCGAAGCTCAGGTCACAATTGCGACATTTGCAGCTGTGTAAAAGGAACTTAGACGGGATTTTTGATTCATTTCTCAAATTTTCAAAACCTAAACCTCAAGAGGCGATTTTTCAAAGGCTATTTCATAGGTAAATGATTCTTAACTCATTTCTTTCAATCTTTCACTTCTTATAACAAGATTTCAACCTAGAATTTGGGAATTTCTGGTGGAATTGGGGATTTTTGGGTAGAAACTAGGGATTTCAAAATTTGGGGATTTAGACCTCAAATTGAGGTCGGATTCCAAAACCAATTGTATAACCGGGCTCGGGGGTGAATGGGTAATCGGGTTTTGGTCCGAGTTTCGGGTTTGGACCAAGCGGGCCTGGGTGTTGACTTTTGTTGACTTTTTNTAATTAATCATGAATTAACTTAAAACGGGATTAGCCTCGTTAATTATCGTGGGGTCGAATTCTGACCCATACAGTTAGTCCCTCCGCTTATTGAGGTCGGGCCTTGGCCGAGCTCGATGAGTGGATTCCATTGGCTGTATTTCGAGAAACACGGATGGGGATGTCGACTGTTGCTTTGGTCGAGGCCGAATTCTTTTTGGCGATGGTCCTTAGCCTTGTAGAGTATTAGTATCCTGTTATTGGGCTCTCAAGTCATCGTTCAATCGAGGTCGAACTCTCCTCCTGGGCGAAGGCACTTGACCTTTTAACTTACTTCGAATGAGGTCGAGCTGCATTGTGCTCTGATCCTTATGTTTGTTTTGGAAGCATACCCGTCGGCCGTGGCGGACGAGTCGTATGTTGTGCGGCCGAGGGGAGTGGGGGCACGCTTGCTACGTGCTCGCCGGTGGCCTTAGCCGTTTACACGTTGGAGATGGCCGTAGCCTTTCATACATTAGAGATGGCCGTGGGGAATGAGTATGCGCCGGGTACGTATTTGGTCACGTCCAGAATTTTGAAGGCGTACGGCACATTCTTTCAGCTTTCGCAGGCCGTAGCGATTATTCTGACGGCGGTACGTTGGCAGATGGCTGAGAAGCCGCTTTGCGGAGCTTGTCATGATGACGCTTGCTTCGGCAGAACCGAACCGTTTTACGGTTGGTCGTGCAGTTAATGATGGCTATTGGGTTTCGCGAAAGCCATTTATGTTGCTTATAAAGGTGGGTTGAGGCATTCATTTCCCATATCTTCATTGTTTATCTGAGAGAGATTCTGAGGAAACTTTTTCATTCCGCTAATTCATCTTCTCCTTTCTTTCCTTTGATTGTGATAACCTTTGTCTTTAGTAGATCAACAATGGCAGGCAGTTCTTCCCACGATGCTCTTCCGATAGATTTTCCGGTAGTTGAAGGGCCACCTCCGGCAATGGGAGGTGCAGAACAGATAGAGACTGGAGAAGTTCCGTCGGTTGACGAGGTAGTTCCTCGGCCCGGAGGTCTGGCAATTGATTTCACTATCAACGGTGGAGAGGAAGCGGTGGATGAAGCCCCGTTAATGGGGGAGATTGGGATGGCCCGATTACGGGAACAGGGGGTCATTCCCACCCATGCAGACATCGTTCTCGCTAGAAGCGAGGAGAGGGTCCACACCGACCGCAGGGGATACTGCATTTTTTACGCCTATCCTTTCAGGTTGGGGTTCAAGATCCCGCTCCCAATGTTGGTGGTGGATTTCTGCCGTTATTACGGGGTGTGCTTGGGTCAGCTCACTCCTTCCCTCTACAAATTGTTGGCAATGTTCATCAAGTATGCGGAATTGGCCCGTAGGGAGGTCACGTTGCAGCATGTGCTTAGTCTCTACGCTCCCGAGAGAGTCTGTGGCACCATGATTCAGGCGTGCCCTCGTGGTTCGAGGGGCCTGGTCATGAGATTGGATGACGAGGTCGACCCTCGCCCTTTCGAGCACTTCTTTTATATCAGGACCAAGCATCTGGTGGCGGATGCTACTGGGTTCCCAGAGGCTTGGAACCATGCACGTAAGTTCTTTAGTGGTTGAATTCCCTTTTCTTCCCCTCTTTATGATTTGTGATCATGAGCGTTAACTCGTGTCGTATTTTGTAACCGACAGGTCGCCGCCGCCCCATTGTCTTGGATACGCGAGTGGGTCGAGGCCGTACTCCCTCATACGGTGGGGATACGCACATGGGCGTCTTTCTGGGAGAGGCATGGTCGTAGGCCCGCGGCAGGTAAGAAATTAATTTCTTCTTCTGTTCCGCTTTGTTTCAACTTTATTAATCAACTTTGTTTTCCTGTGATCAGGGAGGGCACGCCGCGTCAGGGCCCCTCAGTTGGCTTTTCGTCGGCCGAGTGCAGTCGCTCGTCTTACTGCAGCGCCTGTGTCGCGCCCAATACCGAGGGCGGCATCAGTTGAATCTTCAGCGGTTCCTTCTCCGGTACGGGCCGCGTTTCGGGATGAGGGGCCGTCAGGGGTCGTGCGCCCTAGAGCGGAATCGTCATCAGATGGGGAGGAGGAGAGGCCGTTGATAAGGCGTAGGGTCGCGTTCGCGCCGGCTCCTCCTGTGGTAATTAATTTGGACTCCCCCCCGGCGGACGCGGAGAGGAGTGCGGCTGCGGCTGCGGCGCCTGCCCTTGAGGGCGGACAAACACTGGGGGTTGCCCCGGTTGGCTCAGGTCGTAATGATACCGTCGCTTCGGCGACTCAATTGGGGGTTCCAGTTGCTGAGACGGGAGGTAGTTCCTCAGCGGCTGCTAATGTGGGTGAGGCAAGCACTCCTTCGGCGGCTGCGGCGGATGCTGTAGGGGGTGAGGATGAGTCTGAATCCGACTTGGATCCCGACGACGTCCGTATGTTCCAGGAAGGCTCCACCAATTCAGCGGTGCGCGCAGGGGGCGATCTCGCTTCATCGAGGTTCCCACGGAATTGAACTTATTGCTCCAAGGGGAAAGCTTGGTGCCGCAGTTCGAGCTGCTATGCTCGGAGGCCGAGAATGCGTCGTTGAGGGGCGTTACGGATGTCGGACTAATGAATGAAGTAGCCGTGATGGGCTTGAGGGTATGTACTATTACGTCGGTTCGCTTCTTCGCCTTAAGTTTATTCTTTTATTCTAATCGTTGTCTTTGCTTTGCAGTCTTATCTATTGGAGGTGGAGAGCATCCGTCGAGCCAAGGTCCGCTCGGGGATATTTTTGCGGGCGCTGGAGAGGTATCGCCGCTACCGAGATCAGTGCCGAGAGTTGCGCCTGCGCTTGAGCAATGATCCTCGTAGTCGGGCCTTGGTCGAAGAGCTGGCGAGGCGGGAGCTTCAGATGCAGCAAATACTTGGCAGGACGAGTGCTCTCGAGGAGCAGCTCGGCCGAAAGGATGAGGAGCTCGAGGCAGTAAAGAGGGTCGCAGCTGAGTGCGAGCGCCGGGGCAAGGCCAAGGCGGCAGAGGCCGCTGCAGCATGGAGCGGGAAAGTGACCGCGTTGGAGGGTGAAGTCGCGGCATTGAAGCTTCAAGTGAGGGATGCTTCGTCGAGGGCCGGGGCGTTGAAGGAAGCTACCCGCGTGCACGAATCCCAACGGGCATTGGAAAGGGATGCTGCAGCCTTTAGAGAAGCGAGTCTCGAGGAGCGGATTGGTGTCTTTGAGCAGGACGCCCAGGTCATGGCGGACCGCATCACAGCCTTAGAAGAAGAGAATCAGCGGCTACGGGATCAAGCCGCTTCTTCCAGCCAGGCTCGAGAACTTTGGGTCTTTGCCGAGGCCCAATGCGATATATATAAGAGTTTGTGGGAGGCTGGCGTCGTGACCGAAGCTGCTTTCGAGGGGGCGCGTCAGAAGGCTCGTGAGGCACGTGCCGACTGCGGTTTTGACGCGGCGACGCCAGAGGCTGAGGCTGGTGCAGACGGTGGCGCAGACGGTACCGAGTAAAAAGATGTTTATGCATTTTTTCTTGTCTTGTTCGTCGTTTGGCGTTCAGGTGTTTCTTGTTTTTTTTTTATTTCTTGTATTGATCGTCTTGGCCGGGTGTAAGCGGGGATGACCCGCGATTGACTTTGTAAATATATAAATTTTCTTTCCATTGCCTGCCTTGTGCTTGTTTTGTGTCACTGTTTTTCTTTCGTTCTTTAGAGTTTTTATTGCGCTTTTTATTGACCGTTCACGTTGGAGGCCCTAGTTGAATTTAGATCGACGACTTTAGTCGTGATAGAATCGACGGCCTTAGCCATAAAGGCAACTTCGACCGTCGTCGGGTCGTTTACCCACCGCAGTCGAATCTAGGTCGACCGTTGGCGGCGATGGCCTTAGCCATAATATAGTTGATGGCCTTGCTTTTTCAACTCGGTGCGGGCGAGTCTTAGCCGTTATTTGGCGATAGCGGCGCTTAGCCTTAGTCCCAGTTCGGACGCGGTCGAACTACCGGTCGTGATGGTAAAAAACGCGGCCTCGTAGTTTGACCGGGGCCGAACTTTACGTGGCCCGAATCTTAATTCGAGTTGGGAGAACTTACTTGAATGGCGAGGGTGCCTATCTTGCGCTCCGATTTGTTGGGGTTCGGGCTTTGCTTTCACAGATGAAGGTGTTTGGCCTGAGTCTCGGTTCAACTGTGGTTGAACTTGCTAAAGTTGAGGACGAAGGCGTCCATCCTTGCAGTTCGAGCGAGGTCGAGCTCGTTGGATTTAATGGCGAAGGCAAATAGCTTGAGTCTTGGTTCAACCGTGGTTGGACTTTGTTAAATTTGGTGGCGAAGGCACATAGCTTGTCTTGGTTCAACCGTAGTTGAACTTTTTGGTGAAGGCACGTAGCCTGTCTTGGTTCAACCGTAGTTGAACTTTTTGGTGAAGGCGCATAGCCTGTCTTGGTTCAACCGTAGTTGAACTTTGTCGATTTTGATGATGAAGGCACATAGCCTGAGTCATGGTTCAACCGTAGTTGAACTTTTTGGCGAAGGCACATAGCCTGAGTCCCAGTTCAACCGTAGTTGAACTTGTTGGTGAAGGCGCATAGCCTGTCTTGGTTCAATAGCCTGAGTCCCGGTTCAACCGTAGTTGAACTTTTGGTGAAGGCGCATAGCCTGTCTTGGTTCAACCGTAGTTGAACTTTTTGGCGAAGGCACATAGCTTGAGTTGTCTTGGTTCAACCGTAGTTGAACTTTGTCGATTTTGATGATGAAGGCACATAGCCTGAGTCATGGTTCAACCGTAGTTGAACTTTTTGGCGAAGGCACATAGCCTGAGTCCCAGTTCAACCGTAGTTGAACTTGTTCGTAAAGGCGCATAGCCTGTCTTGGTTCAACCGTAGTTGAACTTTTTGGCGAAGGCACATAGCCTGAGTCCCAGTTCAACCGTAGTTGAACTTGTTGGTGAAGGCGCATAGCCTGTCTTGGTTCAACCGTAGTTGAACTTTGTCGATTTTGATGATGAAGGCACATAGCCTGAGTCCCGGTTCAACCGTAGTTGAACTTTTTGGGGACATTGTTGGTTCAACCGTAGTTGAACTTTTTGGTGAAGGCGCATAGCCTGTCTTGGTTCAACCGTAGTTGAACTTTGTCGATTTTGATGATGAAGGCACATAGCCTGAGTCCCGGTTCAACCGTAGTTGAACTTTTTGGTGAAGAGGTCTGGTTCAACCGTAGTTGAACTTTTTGGCGAAGGCACATAGCCTGAGTCCCAGTTCAACCGTAGTTGAACTTGTTGGTGAAGGCGCATAGCCTGTCTTGGTTCAACCGTAGTTGAACTTTTTGGTGAAGGCACGTAGCCTGTCTTGGTTCAACCGTAGTTGAACTTTGTCGATTTTGATGATGAAGGCACATAGCCTGAGTCCCGGTTCAACCGTAGTTGAACTTTTTGGTGAAGGCGCATAGCCTGTCTTGGTTCAACCGTAGTTGAACTTTTTGGTGAAGGCGCATAGCCTGTCTTGGTTCAACCGTAGTTGAACTTTGTCGATTTTGATGATGAAGGCACATAGCCTGAGTCCCGGTTCAACCGTAGTTGAACTTTTTGGTGAAGGCGCATAGCCTGTCTTGGTTCAACCGTAGTTGAACTTTTTGGTGAAGGCGCATAGCCTGTGTTGGACCGTAGTTTAACTTTGTCGATTTTGATGATGAAGGCACATAGCCTGAGTCATGGTTCAACCGTAGTTGAACTTTTTGGCGAAGGCACATAGCCTGAGTCCCAGTTCAACCGTAGTTGAACTTGTTGGTGAAGGCGCATAGCCTGTCTTGGTTCAACCGTAGTTGAACTTTTTGGCGAAGGCACGTAGCCTGAGTCCCGGTTCAACCGTAGTTGAACTTGTTGGTGAAGGCGCATAGCCTGTCGTGGTTCAACCGTAGTTGAACTTTTTGGCGAAGGCACGTAGGCTGAGTCCCGGTTCAACCGTAGTTGAACTTGTTGGTGAAGGCGCACAGCCTGTCTTGGTTCAACCGTAGTTGAACTTTTTGGCGAAGGCGCATAGCCTGTCTTGGTTCAACCGTAGTTGAACTTTGTCGATTTTGATGATGAAGGCACATAGCCTGAGTCATGGTTCAACCGTAGTTGAACTTTTTGGCGAAGGCACATAGCCTGAGTCCCAGTTCAACCGTAGTTGAACTTGTTGGTGAAGGCGCATAGCCTGTGGCCTGAGTCCCAGTTTGTGGGTATTGAGTGCTGAAGCTCGATTTGGATTCGAGACCTTGAGCGGCTCATCCGTTGTCTTCCCAACCAGGGTTTATAGGCTGTCTTGAGGCGACTCTCGGCTCGAGATATCTCCGTGCCGATTTCTGGCCGGAGCTCGTATCAGGGATGTGGGAGATGCCTTACAGAGACCTTCCCTTAGGAGGGGGGGGGGGGAGGGGCTTCTTCTTTTTGTTTGCACTATCTGAGATCGGAGAGAGAGAGAGGACTTAGATCTTGATTTGAGATCTTCGAGTTCCATCGGCTTGATATGCCGCTTTGGCTTGTTTATGCGGGGTTGTTCTTCCTTTTCCGGCGTTTCTTTCCTTTTGGTTAATGGAAGAACTACGCGATTTTGCTATGAAATTCCCACAGACGCCGCTAAATTGTTTGCTCAAAAGTTATCACATATCTTATGAGTATAAAACAATATAATAATAAATCACGGGAAAATCATAGCAAATCGTAATAATCCATTGGACCAAGCGAAGACATGAAAATAGTACTCAGGTAGGGTGAGGACATTAAAGCCTTATTGATAATATTGGTTTGGTCTGCCTCTCCATGAAGAGTTTCAGAGCCTTACAATGGTGTTTTCACTTCCCATAAGATGGGTATGTTTTTCTCCCTCTCTCTTGTCAATAGTGGTGAAGAAGCAGCCCCCTTTCTAGGGCTTCCACTCTTAGTATTTATAGATGTGAGCTTCGTGAGCTGGCAATAAATGGCCGTGGCCACGCTGAGGTTCCGTCCCCATGGGGGAATGAATGGGACGTGCCCTCGTAGATTAAATCGGACAAGAGTCGAATCCTCTTATAAATAAGTGGCCATACCACTTATTAATTATGGATTAGCTCAAGACGAGATTAACTCCGTTAATTACCGTGAGGTCAGATTCTGACCCATACAATTATCAAAGTACAGAATTCTATATTTTGGAACTGGAAGTTAATTACTCTGGATGGTTTGTTAAGTACCATGTTAACTTGGATTTTTTGCCCAATTTGTACCCTGTTATGGTGAATCAAGAAATGAATCCACCAGAAGAATATGCCTATACAAACGTGTTTTCGACGATTTGTTTTCTTGATGATGAGAAAGATAAGGCAAGGTTATTGTTATCAATTCCTGGTAAAATCATTTCGTATGACATGAATGATGAGATGATCGAAGAGCTAGCGGATGTGAAGCCTGCTAGTTTCAGGCTTTTCATTGATGGGGCTCGCTATGATGGCTTTGAAATGTTCAAATATGTTGAGACTTTGGCTTGTGTTTGAGTTCTCATGTGTTCATTTTATTTTATGCTCCTTGATTAAATCTCAATGTATTTGTAGTCAAGTCTATGTATTTCGTTTGCTTGATTAATCTTTGTGATCAGGCCTAACTTTCCTTACATTTCTGCAATTCAACGATCAACTAACCTCACAGTACTCTAATCTAGCAATTCATGAGCAATTTCAATTATTTCTACGGCAAAAGGGCCAAAACTTCCTCAGACTACTCGATTTGATACAAATATGCCCCCATCCACCTATTGAGCCAAAAATGCCCCACCATTCTCTTTCTGGCTCATTATGCCCCTACGACTAATGGTCAATGCCAAATAAAAAATGTTTACTTAAATTAAGCGCGGCAACTTTTTATTGGTCTAATTTTAAACCATGACCCAATTAAATAAACCCACTCTTGACCTATTTTTTTACCCAACCCAAAAATCTGACCCGCCTTAAAAAATGGCCAAACTCTTGATCGTCAAAAATATTAACTTCTCCATCTTTCCATTGCTACCACCATCATAGCTGGCACTATCCCCTTTCCTCCATAGCAACCACGCCGCCATCACATTTTTAGTCTAGGGGCAGTTTTGGTCCTTTTCCATATTTTTATCGTCTTCTTCATTTTATATTTACCATCGGAGTTGTCATTTTTTGAAAATGTTCGTCAAAAGACCCTAATTTTCACATTCAAATGTCACTTATAATGGTAAATATTTTTTTCTTTCTCATACATAAGATAATCAAAGAACCCATTATGAATTCATAGGCTTTAAATTCCAGAATCCTGTTTTTTCTTCACAATTTTTGTAAAACTTTGCAAACTCTTAATAAGCTGTTAGGCCCAAATGGTAAAACTTTTATGGCCTGGTTTCTGCTTCATTCAAGTCTTAATTCAAGGAAGGACAGGGACAGTCTCAGGTAGACAGTTTCTATGGGGCGTAGGCCTCCCAAAAGGTAACGGAGGCGTGCAAAGGTTTCCTCGGGCAAAATCCTAATTTTACAACAAAGAAAGGACATCAAATCGGAAAAAAATTAATAAATTCCTAATCGGACCCTTTCGATTAGCATAATATTCTCGTTGTTATTATTTGAAAATGGAGGAATGGAGCAAACATGAGAATCATGGTTGTGGTGACAGCATGTATTGTTAGTGGGGAGGGGGAAGGGGGGGGGGGTCTAGTTGGTGAGTAGTAGTAGTTAGAAATGTAGGAGTTAAGTTTTAAATTTTTTAA